TCAGATAGAATGTGAGGAAAGATGCCCTCTGCTAGGCCTAGTTCTGAACATGCATACTGATTTCAACCAGTGTGCAAAATTTTGGCTTTTTTTCACTTTTTATTATCTTTTCCTTCATTCATGTCTTGTATACTGTTGTTCCCATTGCTTTTGTTTTTCTCTTTTCAAATTCTTCCTTTTTCTTTACGGGTTGCGACTCAACGGAGTGCAGTTATACTTGGATTACAGTTTGTGTTCTATTACACTGACCTAGACTAGATCATTTTGGTTCTGTTTAGAAGTATTCCTGCACATAGAACACACCTTCACTAATGTGTTTTTGTAGATAAACTTTTAAATGGGGACAGATAATGTAAGGAATGGCCAAATTTGCATTTAGCTCAGCACTTCAATTGTATAGATTTCAACACCTTTACAGGAGTACAATATTGGAATGTTTTAAATTGCTCGAAGAAGCTGATTCAGTAGTGTTCTGATCATGGCAACTTGCAGTGCTCCTGTACCTTTTCAATTGTAGGATTTGGAAACTTGACTTATTAACCTTGAAGACAAACATTCAACTTGAAATTGCTAAATCGAGTGACTGTTCTAGATTTTTTTTAAATGATACAGAATGTTTCTAAGATTTTAAAAGATTTTTGTCACTCTTTTCCAATATTAATAGTTTTTGTTCTTTTGATGTTTGATTGATGTTCTGAGAGACTATGGCAAAAATGCTGTTTTTCCCCTTACGGTTTGTTGACAAGATATTTCAAAGTTGACTATTCAAGACTGTGCATACTGCTAATTCTTGTATTCTGCATTGTGTAGGCTATCAAGTACTAGCTCCCACTGCCTATTATGATCAGACTGGTGCCTTAGTAGTAGGCCCTGGAGCAAGAACTGGCCTTGGAGCACCAGTCAGATTGGTGGCCTCAACTCCTGTTATAATCAGTTCTGCAGCAGCACAAGCAGGTAAGTATTTGACCTTCCATGCAGATTTCTTTCTTGTTTGTATGGAACCTTAGCAGCAGTGTTAGTTGACTAGTATTTCATATTGTTGATGTGGTTCATACACACCCTGTGAGGATTTCCAGTTGTGAAGGATATACCATGTGCTGTTTCTTATTGTCACGTCTGCTGTTTTATCATTTTCTCCTTTCCTCTGCCCATGCATACAACATGCACTTCTCATCACTCCTCAGAATGGTGTCCTCTAGGAAGCATCATTTCATTGCTTCGGCCTGGCAGAAGATGATGAAATACTCTAGGGTCTTGCTATGCTTTTCTTATGAAAGTTGCTAGTTTTCTGTTTTGTTTTTTTAATGAGAAGTATAGCAAGGAAAAATGTACAGAATGGATAAGCAGAAGAGGAGAATTAGTTACATGGAAAGTCTCCAGCTTTCTTTTTATTGGGGCAGAGCCTGGCCTCACTTTATTAAAACAACTGTATTTATTGTATTTATTAAATTAAAATCCAAAATATTAACACAAGATGAATTAAGTTATTCAGAAGATTAGATTTTAAGTTGATCTGTAAGCTTCTTGCTCTGACATTAGATGTCTTTGAATGCTAGCTGTAACTCTGCTACTGTGAATTTGAATATCAAAGTGCAGTTCAGTAAACAGTGATGTTTATAGGTTTACACTGAAAATTCCCTCCATTACATTACCTATCCTGCAGCCTTGATTAGCTTCTGACATATGCTGTCTTACTTTTTCTATTTCCTTGGGTAATTAAGACTGTATGATATCATAGATTTTCTTTTTTAATATGTGAATTTGTTTGTTTAAGAGGGATTCTTAAAAATAAGACTTAGACCTGAATAGTCCATTTGCAGTCAGAAATGTTTGAGAGAGTAATTATGATTGAAAACGTGTGTTTTACAGCTGCAGCTGCTTCAGCTGGAGGAACAGCAAACAATCTCACGGGAGCCACGAACGGTCTATTTCGGCCACTTGGTGCCCAGCCACAACAACAGCAACAGCAAACAAATAGTAGCCTACAATCCAATTCATTTTATGGCAGTAACTCTTTGACCAATAACTCCCCAAACAGTTCCCTTTTTTCACATGGTCCTGGCCAACCAGGAAGTACATCTCTTGGCTTTGGAAGTAGCAGCTCCTTAGGAGCAGCTATCGGCTCTGCACTTGGTGGATTTGGCTCATCAGGTAGGTTGGTAATATAGTGAGGAAATTGTGAGACGTGTGTGTTAAGGGCAAAAAGTGTATTTGTATCCAGATACGTGATATACACGTACATTTCCAAAAACAATGCTGAAAAAAGGGTATGGAAATTTAAAGCAAATTTTAGGGGAAGAAAAAGGGGCTTAAATTTGCTATACAAGAATAATTTTTGAAAAATACCTTCTAGTTGTAGATATCTCTAAAACAATTTTTTTCTGCTGAGCATTGAGCTTTGCCCCAGAACCTTGTTCATCCAGTAGGTTATTTTTATTCTTTATTTGCAAATGAAGCATTCATTTTGTGTTTAAAGTAACAACTGGTTGCTTTTAAGAATTGCATTCTTTTGTTACACTTCTCATGTTAGGAAAATTTCCCTTTTATTTATTTAATAAACTGCTTGTGATATTCTAAATTTGATGTAGTATTGCAGTACTTGTAGGTTTAGGCTGTGATCATGGAGAGCCTTGTTATCTTGTTAATTTCAGTAGATTTAATCTTAGATACATTTAAGCAGAGTTTGGAGCCTTACATTCTTGCAGCATATCTCCCTCAATATTATCAACCCATTTGTGTTATCAAAAGAAATAATTTTTAAAAAGTCATAATTTTGTATACTCTATGGCAGCAATTTATTCTCCCAGTTTTTAAATATGCAAGGTAGGTTTTCCTATATTTTAGAGTCAGTTTTAGTAAGAGGAATGAAATAGTCTTTTCTAAGCATTTCCTGTGGCTATTCATGTTACATTCTAAGTTACAGAACTGAATTGCTTACTGCTCTTATTACTTCGAAATAAGTGAACCCTACTTTTAATCCTGCACATCTTGCAGATAGGTAGAAATTGGGAGGAAAAAACAATAGTACTTGAACAGTATTTTTCAAGGCAAAATGTCCCACAGGAAATTAAAATATGTTGAAGTGTAGAAGTAGTGACTGCTATTACAAAGATAGCTTAGTGTATGGAAAAACAGAAAGAAAACCACACCCTTCAGTGCTAAAATGTGATACCTTTCATTTGGTACCAAAGTGGAGGTGCATGGTGACATCACATGGCTGCATTCCAGCACTGAGATTTTCTCAGTATTGTTTCTCACAAAATTATCCAAACATTTACTTGTTTTAACAAAGCTAATGATACAAAATCTAGAATGAAGTTCTTATGGTCCTCTCTGATCTTGAATTCAAATAGTGCCATCTTCAATTAAAAACAAAAGCCACTCAGCTACTCAGCTGTGTAGGGTTAATAATTTTCCATAGTATCACAGCAGGTAAATTTTATTGCCAGAATAATGGCACCAAGTGCTGTGTTTTGTACTACAAATTATTTCCTGAGCTACTGGTAGGTTTCAGTGAGTTCTCAGCAGCTGTATTTTGCTCTAGATAAACTTTTATTTCATTGATAGGTGTGGTCATAAAAATATCTGCATCGGTAATGCAGTGCACCCATTTCAGGTCTCTGGGTAGTATACTTTTAAGCCATGGAAGTCTTTATCCAGCATTATCACTAAGACCTCCATACAATACTGATTTTAGTTGCATATCTATCTAAGAAGAAATATAAGAGTTATTTATTGCTGGCACAAGAGATTATGCCGTTATCTGGTGGCAAAGTTCAGTTCTAGAGCTTTGTCCAAAGCCTTCAGCATAGATGACACATATTGGAATCTTGCAGCAGTGTTTGAGGTGATTTCCACATGGTAGTTTCCACAGAGAAGCAGGAAGCTCGTGCTTTTGTAGTTGAGAATTGCTGATGAAAGGTGCTATCCAAACCCTATCTACTTTTAGTAGTATTAATGCAGTAAAAGTATATTGAAAGTGCCTTCCTACTAAGTATAAGCTGTATTTGCCTTAACAGCCAATAAGTTTTTCTTATAACAACAACAAAGGCTTCTGAGCTGTAATGTATGTATGAATTGAATTGCACAGATTGAGTAAAAATCTTAATGCATGTTGAGGCAAATGAAGAACAAACTTCAGTTTTGATTTGCCAAAGCCTTGGCTTACCTGTAATTCTGTTAAGTGTTGTTGTAGGAGTTGAATGTCAGTTAGAGGATGTCCATGTAGACTGACAGGTGGCAGTACGGATCTTGTCCTTCTGCACCTTATGTGTTTGCAGTTGCTGCAGGGGGGAAAAAAAATAGCCTTGCAAGGGAAAAAAAAAAAAAGGTAAAGGGGAGATGTCCTAGCTGGCTGACTGATGAACAAAGTAGAAAATGGAAAGAGGCAAGCGTATGTAAATGGCTGTACGCATGTTGCCATCCTCTGTTTTTTATAAAGTTATTCATGCTCCACTTTAAAGATTCAGGTACATAAGGTACTGCAGCTTAACAGGCAACTGAGAATCGGATCAACTAGGGCAGCTTCCAGATGTCTGTCTACCTTTGGCTCGTAGCAGATGGGACTGCATTAGCTTAGTGGTAAGGAGGGCGTGGAGTTAATTCAATTTGTCTTGTTTCTTTGAGCTTTGTGTGTGTGTCAAGATGCAGTTCAACTGGTTCATGGTAACTTGTTAAGCTGCAGTATTCTAGCTGAATAAGAAACACTAAAGTTTAGCTTTTTTCCCCATAGCCAGTTGGAAAAACAACAATCCATTCTGTAGTACTGGATTAATGCTCACATGGTTCATCAACTGAGGCAGAACCTGGAGGCCTAGTCGCAAATCTTAAGATTTCTTTCAGCTGTTACCTTAATTTGCTCTTCTGATGTCTTAATCTCCTTGCCTAGTTAGTCCAGTATCTTTTCTTCCTTGCTTCTCCTCCAATATGTCTGCCTTACTAGTTTTCAGGCAATATTTATCTCCCCTCCCCTCCTCAGTATGTGTGTTTCTGCTTGTACTGTGTGATGTTCCCATTACCAGCTTACTGTTCCAGTCTCTTTGACCTACAGTCACATACACCTTCTGTAGCCTAACTTTTCATCAGATCTGCTTTCTTTTTCATCCTCGATTCTACTACTTTTGAAATTGCTTGCTAGTTTTCTTGCAGTCTCCCTGTTGGCTCCTTTGTCTGACCTTTTTCTCCTCCTGGTTTCTTTTTTTTTTTGCCTGGTCTATTTCTGCTGTTTGGTTTCTTGTCTCTGCATTTGAAGTAGATAACTTGCTTTCCACACTGCCTGATGAGTCTTCTGAGAACAAGGTGGAATCATGGACAACAGTTGGAGTCCATTTTTGGCATGGTACAAAAGCCTAGAAGTACAATTGCAGCAAAACCATTATTGACCATTTCAGACATGCCATGAATGGGCAGGAGAGTTTTCAGCTGTGAATCTGTACCAGATCTCTGCTGGTTTTCTGTGAAATGTGATTTCAGTAAGATTTTTAGTTCAAAGAGAGCACGCAAGTAAAGGTCTCCTATTGCTAGCATGTTATCTGAGTACATGAAAGCATTAATTTCTCAAATAATACGAGACTGGTTTATTTTCATAAAGGTGAAGCATCTTTCCCAGTTTCCTAAAATGGCCGTGTTGTTTGGGCAGAACTTCTTTGAATAATTTGATCCAAGCTGAAGCTGCCAAGGAAAACATTAGCAAAGTTGCTGATGTTAAAAGAAATCGCAGTGCCTCCAAGTGGAAGGTGTCAGGAGGCCTTTATGTTGGACCACACTGTTGGCTTAGTATGAGGGTACCCTGATATGGGTAAAGATTATGGAAGTATAAATTTTGGCATTTCTTTAAGTTGAAGCATAAAACAATCTTTCTGATTCAGCTTATGTTACCCAGATAGCCATAATCTCAGTTCATTGATGTAATAATGTTCCAGTGTTTAAAATAGGCATTGTAGTTAACTATTACACAGATATGCAACAGATTGACTTTAACATTTCTAAAAACTTTCTGTTGTTCTCCTAATTTGCCCTAGACTGTTCATTGCCTTGCTGAATGATGCTGTGCAGGATAACCAGTCCTTCATTAATGCTCTGTTAGCCACAGCTTCTAGTCTCATTTGTTTTTCAGAAGTAGTGTTAGCAGTAGTTATGTTTTGAGTTTCTCACCTTAGTTTTCCTATCTCTGCTCTGCTTCTCTTCTTCTTAGCCTGCTCTGTCTTTATAGGATCTTTATAAAACCCTTCTTTTAAGAATCATTATTCTCTCAGGGAATTTTTAGTAGCCATTTTTTCCTACAGGTGAGGGGATCACAAACGAGGAGGTTCAGAAACAACCAAACAGCAACATAAATTATTTTCTGAACCCTTATAAGTAAGGAAGTTAGTTGCTTTTAGCCTTTTGCCTGTACTCAAGAATTGCTGTCTGTTAATTTCTGATGGAAAAAAATGCTTGAAGAGTTCAGTGGAAATATCTTTAGAACGGCTCACTGTATGCAATTGCTCTGTAATCCCATAATGCCTGAAGCCCAAGGTATTAAAATGGAGTACTACAACATTACCGTGAGAAGTCTAGAATGAAATGTGGTGTGTTTATACCCACTTAGATTTTCTTAAAAGCATGTGTGGTTATCACAGTAATTGTCTTTGTCATAATGATTGCTGTAATTATTGTGATCGCATCTGTTATTGCCCAGCTGTAGTTGGGGATTAGGTTTTATTCAGTTGACACTGTGTAATTAGGGTCTTTTTATTTCTTCTTCAGTTGGCAGTTCTGCAAGTAGTAGTGCCACAAGGAGAGATTCTCTATCTACTAGCTCTGACTTGTACAAAAGATCTAGTAGCAGCCTAGCACCCATAGGGCAGCCATTTTACAATAGTCTGGGATTTTCCTCCTCTCCAAGTCCAATAGGCATGCCTCTGCCAAGCCAAACTCCAGGACATTCACTTACGCCACCGCCATCACTTTCATCACATGGATCCTCATCCAGTTTGCATTTAGGTAAAAAAAACAAAAACAAAAACGAAAAAACAAAACACGTTTTGTTTGTATGTGTGTATGTATTTCTATGTGTAAAATATGTGTTGCATAAGAGATGTCACGTTACCTTTGCTGTTAAAACAGTTTTGTATCGAAGAGGGCCCATTCCTGAGGGTTGAAGAGTGCAGTCAAATGGTCATTGGTCTGACAGTGGAGGGCACTCAGCTTTTGTGCACTGTTGGGCCAACAGCTGATTTTTATTCCCTTCCATAAGCCTGATAGAGCCCAGTAAGACTTACAGCTCCTTTTTGTATTGTTGCTTCCTGCAATATGATGCGCAAAGGTGCAGTATTTTTATTTGTACTTCAGTGTATTACCGCTTCGAGAACATTTTAAGATGAGTTTTTTTTGTTGAATGGTGAAGTGACTTTCACTGCTGCCCCTTACCATGGCAGTGTGGAAAAGTTCTCAATGTGCTATGTGTTAAAAGGTAATTTGGAATGGGTGAGCTTTATGGCCCACGCGCTGTGCCAGGAAGATGAGTGCTTCCCACCAGCTGGTGGAAGAAAAGAAAATGCTTTCATGAGAGAAATAGCAAAGGCTTTGTCAGAGGTGGCTCTTTGGTTATCAGAGATATTTTCAAGGTATGGTCACAGTAATCTTAGAAATTTGTCAGCCGGTCAGATGACGTGGGAGCTCAACCTCTTAAAAATAAATAAGAAAATTAAAATCTAAAGTAACTCCACCACAGCCTACAGTATTTTTAGAAGAGAATGCCTCTACCCTGAGGTAACTTAATGAAACTTTACCTTTTTTCACTGCAGATGTGGTCATTTAATTGGGATGCTAAAATTGTAGTGGATGTAATGATGAGCTGAGTTGCCTGTTGCTCCGTTGAAGTGCACTCCAGTGTGCACTTGTGTTCATGTAGCAGGCAACTGAACCCCTGTACTTCAGTTTACTGCAAATAAAACAGGAAAAATAATTAAAGTGCCCACCTCCAAAAATACACTTCAAGTGAGAAATGTGTGATTTCTGTAACGATGTTGAAAGTAATTTAAATATATTACTTTTGCAGTTCAGTATTCCCTTCATGGTTATGTGCTGAATACCCGAAGTAAAACTGGGCAAGGGGATGTTTCAGCACGTTTTATTTTTTTTTACTTACCTTTTTTCCTTTTCCAGGTCTACAAAGTGCACCTTTGGGCTGAGACCAAGCATGGAAAGTTTCAGCCCAAATGGAGGCTTTTGAGAAAGTTCTGAACATCTGACAATGGGGTTATCATGGAAATCTTTCTCTTTCTTTCTTTTCAAAGTACTCTCATAATAGTTTTCATATTACTGAAAACTATACTCAGAACAAAATTTGGAAGGCATTATCTAAAATTCAAAATGTTTAATGTTGTGTTGCTTTACATTTGATAAATGCTAAGTGAGCTGCAGTCGGTACAGAAGATTGCCTCTGTCAGCAGAAATTGTTGATAAATACTGATTTGAATCCATATCAGACTGTTTGGCAGTGTGAGCTAAGTATAACAGTTTGATAAAATCGTCTACAAGATCGGTGTTTAAAGGCCACAACGTACAGTTGTACTCTGAAAATTGACGCAGCATTTTTGGCTGCTGTGCTTGCTGCCTTTTCCACACTAAGTGGACTTCATTAATGGGTGCACCTTTTGCTGCCTTAATGAATCCATCTGAAATGTTGAAATTGAGACTCTCTTGGATTTTTACTTTCACCGAAAATGCAGTGATTTTTTTTTTCTTTAGCATTTTCTGGACTCTCCCCTTTGTGTTACTTAGTTGTGCACTTGCACCCAAGGGGAACCACTGCAAAAAGGTCAGCACTTCTGCTGCTGCCTGTCCTGCTCAGCTCATTCTGCTGTGTTCATCAGCCACTCTGGGAAGATTTTTTGTTTTGTTCTCACATGGGAGGGGAAAAAAAAAAAAAAAGGCAAAGCTATTTCACCCAATAAGAAGCAAAACCTGCAATCAAACAGGGAGTGTATTTTGAGAAGGGTGCGATTATCACGCAGTCACTTTTCAGAGAACAACGTTGTAAGTTCACGTCTGCATGCAGTTTCCATTGGTATCCTGATAATGCCTGTCAAACGCAGCTCTCCCTCCACCTTCAAAACTTGTCCTGCCTGCTTATATGAACAGGTTCAGCTAAGTTTAACTCCTGTTTTAAGATGGGCATCAAACTCAGTTGCTCCTGTTTCAGCCACCAAAACACTAGAGCACAATACTGGGGAAGGGTGCATGGTTTTATAACCCCTTTGTCAGACACTGCTGCAATTTGTAGCTTAATAAAAAGGCTTCCCTTTTACAAGAAACTTGTGATATTTTGCTGTTTTTATCTCTTTTCCTCAACTCTTATCCAACATCCTAAATTAGAAATGCACTAATTACCTTGGTCTAGTGTCAGTTTCCCTTTAACTGAAGGGATATATCAGTTGTTTGTAACTGCTGCCTTACTGTAATCGGTTGGAGCAGCAAGGTCATGAATTTGAACTACCCTTTCACTCCCAGGGGCAAAGATATGAATGGAAGTGGTCTAAAAATTCCCTTAGATTGGTAGTGCTTGCTTTGTTGGATGGTACATTGCCACATCTTAAGGGCAGGATTTTTAAAATCAGGACTTTGGGAGACAGTTATTTTCAGTTCATGCTGTTGTTCAGGTCAGTGTTTTTGAGAGCTGGTCGCTCTGAGAGAGAGCTGAGGCCCTTGGCATAGCAGAATGGGAGCCTCTCATTGCCTCTGCTTTGTACCTACTCTGTAGGACTAGGGCAAACCAGGCACAGCAAGCACTGGCATTGCTTCATGAAGCACCTATGCGACTGTAGGTACACTTGCGTATGTGTATGTGGTTCTGTTTATTTCCAGTATGAGAAGGAAATGTTCACGTGTTTTAGCTGAGGATGAGATGAAGCTGATTCATTTTATGGCTATAAAAATGTTTTGTAGAAGTCTGGTTGAAAATATTTATGCACTTCAGTATATTTTACTAGCAAATAACACTGACTGGGTTTAAACCGCAGTTTCTGTGCAATAAATCTGTTGTACATCTTGGTTAGAAATGGTTGAAGAATGCTTTGGTAGTAAGTACTAACAGACTAATGCTATAAAAGAAGCCTGCGTAGATACAGTTTTTCATATTTTTCATGTTGTCTTTTATATTAAATATGTTACCTAAGCTGAGCAGTTAGTAATTGGACATGATTTGTCTCCTTAAAACCTTAGTAAGGCTCTTTTTTAGACAGCTTATGTGTCTTTTATGCCTCTGTGCCTCTTCTTCCCAATGGACCAGCCACTGGGATTTAGGTTCAATTAAACTGTAGAACAACTTAATATCATTGTATCAGGGTCTTCCTATTACAAGATCAGAAGTGATAGCTAAGTGAGTATGTGAAGAACAAACTACATGCTTTGTTCCCCAGTGTTTTGTGATCATGTGGATATGCTGATTCCTGATAGCAGTCCATTAAAATGTCAGCATTTGCAGGGAAGCTCAGGTCTTTACCCAGTAGGGTATGACTTTTTTTTTCCCAAGTAGCTGGTAAGAATTAACCTGTGTTACCTTTCTGGTATGGAATTAGAGCCCGTAAAACAGCATTAGGAGTTCTTGAAGAGCACAAGAATGTGGTAGGTTAACCAGGAGGGGTTGGGTAACGGGAACTCAGATTTCAGTTTCTCATTTCCAAGCCTTTCCCAGTAAATGTTTCAGGAAGGAGGAGGCCGGTTGTCCTCAGTGTTCACACTATGGCTTTGCTGGTTTTGGACTGACATTGTAACGAGGATTAACATTAAAGAAACTAGTCTGTTGTATACGAGAGCGTATTTGCATATAATAAGTACCTGGGACAGTGGGGTTGTGATTTGTGGGTTTTTCTATTTTTCAAAGCTGCAAAGTTGTCACTGAGCTTTAACGCTTCTGCAGTAATAAAAGATGACACGAGAAAAACTAATTAGCTATTAGATCACAGTTTTTACATTAGCATCCGGAGTTCTACAAGCTTAAGCTTGTTTGTTTATGGAGTGTGACATACATCTAGGAATGGTGAATGTGTTTTTATCCATACCGTATTATGATCTGCCTTATGATTATTTCAGATAGTGTCTCAAAGTAGACAGGAGTCTCTCAATTGCAGCATAGTCTTCTTAACCCTTAAAAAGGGGCAGTTACCCAAATTAGATCAAGAAAAGACTTGATAGTCTTGAATGTGGAATGTACTGCATGCGTGCGGTTTTACTGCGCACACAGCATTTGTTAAAAGTGTAGTGAGTTTGATAACTTCTGTTTTAATTTTAATATATATATATAAAATGATCAAACAATTCCTGATGTACATGTGCAGTTTGATTGCTTCTGCTAATTAGAACCTACGCAGTTTGTGATCTTACAGTTGAAACTGCCCTCCTAGTTTCTGGCACAGAGTAGTTCATGTGATGAGTGAAGCGATAGGTAAATCACAACATCCTATTATGACTTCCTGTGAAATGGGCTTTGCTGCCCTCTCCTGGCATTAAGTACTGTTACTGCACAGCATGTCCAGAGAAGATAGATTTCTTACATACGTTATAGTCTAGATCAGCAGCATAATTTCCCTGTTGTTTAGAAGGCCATTCCTAGAAAAACCACTGTAGAGCATCAGTCTGCATCCTGCTTCACCTGCAGAATGTTGGGTTTCTTTTTCTTTTTTGTCTGTTAGGATGTCATTGTCATCTCTTCTGGAAATAGCGATTATCAGAAACTAAATATGATAATTACAACTGATTTTTCTGGCTATAAGGAAATAAGAGGCTTTAATTGTTTTATTAAAAAAAACAAAACAAAACAAAAACAACAGCTGGTGTGGGACATGAATCATTTACTGGTTATTTATTGATTCTTACCACTGAAGTATGAAAATGTAAGTAATACTTACATTCTGGGGCATAATCCCATACAAGGCAATAAAGTGATGCTTGGTATTACCTGCAGCACTGTAACGTACTGCATTCTGGTATTCTGATCTGACCTTTCAGAAAAGATACTTTAATCATTAATCTGTTAGCAGTGCACTATAACCTTGCTGTAGCCAGGCCTTATGCATACTTGGAGCCAACAGAAGGCTTTGGCTAGGACACTGTCAGCTGATAGGGTTTTTTTAATCCATTTTGTATGAGAGCACCATTCAGAAGGCACATACAAAGTTTGTTTGAAATTCAAGTTCACATACTTCTGTTGAGTTTGAAAGGATTTTCAGATACTGCACTTTCTAGAAAATTTGTTGTGGAACAGTTTTTTTTTTTCCAATTCATACTCTATAATTCTAGTTTGGTGGTTTTTTTGCAGTAGTAGAGTTGGGGTATTATACTCTGCATGTGTTATAGTAGCAGTATTTCTTTGAAAAATCATAGTGTAGTTGCAAAAGATGAGTTGTTTTGTGGTTATGATGATGATTGCTGCTTGCTTTAGAATGGAGATTGGCATTCTGGCTAATTTACTGATGGGAGAGCAGAATGTGAGAAGAAATTCACAAGGCTGAGAGATGGCAGCTGATGGTGGGACAGCAAGTGAAGGAATGGGACCTAAGCAAAGCTTAGTAAGGAAAGTGAAGGCGTAATGAGGGGTGCATGTTTTCACAACAAGGCAAGGAGTTGATGTTTTAAAAAGAACTTGAGTGTAATGTATCTTTGGTTATTATAGAACTAAGTAGAGCATTCTTATTTACCTGCTTTGAAATTTGATGTATTTAGTGCTTACAGAGAGGTACCAGATTGAAAGCCTGGGATGCTGAAGTCATCAAATTTCCTGCAGAACAGGTACAGCATGACAAGAGGCATCACATGTGCCTTCCCAAAATGCCCTTTCACTCTATAAACTGACAGAAAGGTACCTCAGTAGGGACTGAAGGGTAGTTCAGATTTCATGGTCTGTTTTGACACAATTGGCTACTGCTACTAACAAGAGTATGAATCACTGTTGCTCGTGAAGTGGAAATTTGCCCACTAAGCTAAGGCCCACCCAGTTCTAATATGTCTGTAGGCCTGAGTGGGTGGTCACATGACCTGCTTCATTATGTTCTAATGAGATGTCTTTTCTAATGAGATGTCTTTTCCTGGTGCCCCTCACATAAAAATGAGGAGGAGAATGGCTTTATTTCTTGGAAGATAAAGCTATCCAACTCCTCAATTCAAAATGAGGTAAATATAAGTAACAAGACAGCACTGTTGTTTCCTTTGGCTCCAGGGTATCTGTAGTTCTAGTACATTTGATGTTTTGCTGTTGTTTATTTTCCTTGTGGCTTTTACTGACAAAACCGCTTCCTTGTAGGAGGACTCACAAATGGTAGTGGTCGCTATATTTCTGCAGCACCTGGAGCAGAAGCAAAGTATCGCAGTGCAGCAAGTACCTCCAGTCTTTTTAGCTCCACCAGTCAGCTCTTCCCTCCTTCACGCCTTCGTTACAGTAGGTCTGACATTATGCCTTCTGGACGGAGTCGATTGCTGGAAGATTTCCGAAATAATCGTTTCCCAAATCTCCAACTAAGAGACCTTATTGGACATATTGTTGAATTTTCTCAAGATCAGCATGGTTCTAGGTAATTACCGAAGTAAAGTTAATCAATTAAGAATGTTTTACTGCTTTGATATTGTCATATTAACATGAAAGGTTTGAGTGAGCTGGGAGTCATCTTAATACAAAGTGTACCATTAATTGGAATGCATGCTCTTACGCTGACCTTTTTCTTTTCTAGGGAATTTCATTATAAAGGTAGTGTAAATGTAGCTGCTCATAGAAGTATTCAGGTTAGAAGTAGCCTTATAACTCAACTTGTAAACTCTAGTATATAAGTATCAAAAAGGTGTTGATTAAGAAAACAAAATATCTGCGTCTGGAATGTAAAAAATATTTTTTCAGCAATACATCGTCAGGTACTTAGTTATTCTTTTCATCTTTTAATACTTTGCAAATGAAAGTTTTTAAGGATCATTATACTAAAATGCATTCTTTCATATGCAGAGGCACAGCTTTCGTTTTAATAAGTTTTATAATGTTTTATACTTGCTTCATAGCATTGAGGTGTCTCATTGAAGCAGTGTTTTGAGAGGTTTTCCTGTTGTTCATGTAAAGCATAATGCACATTTTTTTGCACTTAGATTTATACAGCAAAAGCTGGAGCGAGCTACTCCAGCTGAGCGCCAGATGGTGTTTAACGAGATCTTGCAAGCAGCATATCAATTGATGACTGATGTGTTTGGAAACTATGTAATACAGAAGTTCTTTGAGGTAAGAATAACACTTGAGTATATGAACAAAAACATGAATGAAAAACTGTAAAGTCTGATTAAATTTAATTTTTTTTTTTTCTTAACTTTATAGCAGATTTCTACCGAACCCTCGATATAGAACCCGAGAGTCACATGTGTTTTCTATTCTGTTCCCCCTGCTTTATTCATAACGGAGCTGAAAATTATAGACATGTTTTATTCTTCACCCTGGTGATGCGTATGTTAACAAACAGTGTAGGCTGCACACTTGAACTTTGCAAGTCTTTCAGCTTAATTTACAGAGGCTTTAAGCAGATGGTGGGGAACACAAAGATTTGAAGGATATTTGTACTGGTATTAAAGGATACTTGATCTTGGCATAGAGCAGGTCTGGAAAATGCGCTTGTACCCAAAGAAAAAGATGTGTTGAACTTTGTCCAGTGCTATATATGAAGGAACTCACATTGAGAAAGATTTTGAGGAAGACATCACAAAATACATCTGATATTAGTTCAACTAGAATTTAAAACAGGTTTGGTTGTTTGTTTGTTTGGTTTTTTTTTAACTGAAAACTACGGGGGAGAAAAAAGCTATCAAAGGGCTGCAAAATTCAGGCTTTGGAGAAAAGGTAGTGCCTGCTCATAAAACAAGAAATACATGTAGGAATGGTACACAGCATAGTATGCGTTACATCAAGGACCATATCAAATACTTGGTGAAGCTGGGAGATGTCTAATAAAAAAAAAATAAGAAATAAGGTGCTTGCTGTAGATAGGAATTAATTTGTAATGACTAATCTACAAAACAGTGTGCTTATTCTTTTGTCTTGATGTTCTTTTTACTAAATCAGAATAACTTCTCAAAAGTGTGGCTGACATCCAATGTGCAGGTCCTTGATATTGCTCATGTGTTACCAGTTACTGTTTTTTTCTCCCTGATGTCAGGTTATGATCATTTAAGTAGGAAGTAGATGTTGTTTGAGCTTTTTTCACGGCTTCAGGTGACTACAAGTGTGGGGTTTAACAAATCTCAGCAGTGCTGCATGAAAGTCAGAGATGCAGCCCAGCCCATTACTGCTGTGTGGCCTTTTGCCCTGTGGCAGCACAGCGGTTTGTGTGACTTGGCCAGAGGGATGTGGGAACTGGCCAGGCTGGAAACAACATTTCCAACATTTACATTATTCTGAAGCCGGATTGGTGGCTTCTCTCTTAAACATGGAGCAGCTTAGAAGGTTGTAGAGGCACTGTGGAGGGAATAAGATGGGCAGGAGCTAGGTACTGCTGAAAAATGTTGGTTGAATTATTCTCTGATACAGCCAGTGCGTAAAACCCAAAGCAAAACCCATCTTATTTCTTAGTTTTCCAAAATTCTCATGTTAGGTCCCTCAAGGCACCTGAAGTTAGCGTGAAGCTGCTGTAGGGACAACTGCTGCTTTTTTTTGTTGTTCTCTTCTCCTGTTACTGCTTACTGTAATGTAAATTGACCGTACAAATCTGAGATCCTAGAGAAAACGTGATTCGAATTACTATGTTACAGTAATCTGATGTTATTAATTTGGCTGATAACATTTGTCTCAAATGGGGTATTTCATTCTAAATGTTAATCTGTATTCCTACAGTTAGTCAAGTACAAACTAATTAATTTTTTTTGCTGCCATTAAAGTCATGCATTTGAAAGCACGCATTGTATTGGAATATAGAATACTACAAAATGTTGAATTTAAGGGAAAATAATAATAATGAAAAAGCTTCTGGTAAATATACCAATCAAAAATAAAGGGAAAAACCATCCAAGGCATGATGCTTAACGCATCATGAACATTCTTACTCTGTCATGTGAATTCCAGCATGCTTCGTGCTTTCTTTTTTTTAACAGCATATTTGTTTTTTTCTAGTTTGGAAGCCTGGATCAGAAGTTAGCCCTGGCAACACGCATACGTGGTCATGTTCTGCCATTAGCCCTACAGATGTATGGTTGTCGTGTTATTCAGAAAGCACTTGAGTCTATTTCACCTGACCAGCAGGTAATTGTAAGTTAGAACAATATTTTTTTTAATTTTGTTTCAGTTTAATTTCATCTTCCTTTTTACTTGCTTAAGTTGTTGATCATTCCCTTTGTTATAAAAAGATCTAGAGACCAAAAATAGTTAAAGTGATGAGATACGTAAGTAGATCACTGGTAAATAGGAAAAGTAGATATTCCTTTGAGAAAAAAAAACAAACCACTGTGAAGACAAAGCTAATCTTTTTTTCCAGAATGAAATGGTGAAAGAGCTGGATGGTCATGTTCTGAAATGTGTGAAAGATCAAAATGGGAATCACGTTGTGCAAAAGTGTATTGAGTGTGTTCAGCCCCAGTCGCTCCAGTTCATCATCGATGCATTCAAAGGACAGGTAGTGTTAACAGTTCATTTCCTTTTCTGGAGGGTTGCTTTGATTTGCAATTTGCTTTTGGCGCTGTTCACATATACAAGATAGCGTTTGGCTCACTTACAGTCAGCTAATATTAAGCTGGAGTAAAAGAAGAGATGGTAAAATGGAAAAGCTGTTAACAGATAGTTAAGGTGCTTTAAAAAGATGAATGTTGGATGAGAAGCTCTAGAAAACCGCGTTGGATGTTCTGTAAAAGCCAGTAGAAGTATTTGGCTTATGGCCAGGCTGTTGGGGTTTTGTGATGTGCCACTTTAAATTTCCTTTCTAACTTTTAGTGTCTATTTTTGGTGTATCTGATCTCTAGCATACACTTTTCATTAAAATTTCCTTTCAATTCTTTTTCTTCTTTTACTTACCTTGTAACTCTGTCTTCCAGAGTTTGCCAATCAATATCTACCGTTAAGGAAAATCCTTTGAAAAAATATTAATCTTTTCCCTATGTATTTGGATAGTGTTAAGTGAAGGGGAGGAAGAAGGTATTTGTTAACCAAGGTTGTTTTGTTTGTTGTTTCCAACAAAATTATATTCATAAAAGATTGGTATTGTGCCACAGGCTAAAGAGCATGTTGCAGCTAAAGAAGATTTTAATACTTTGTGACAAACGTGTACTTCTGTAGTCTCAAGGAATTGTAAAAATAGTACTGATGTGGCTGTTAGTAAATTCTACTTTAATGGCTGGCCATATGTGTTTCTTAACAAAGTCTACGATAAAATTCTCTCCCACTACACTACCAGAAACACTGTTGTGCATAGTGGTAGGTAGCATATTAAGGTGTGTAGGGTTGGGCCTTTCTGTATCAAAAAACACATACGGAGTAGATGAGATGCAGTTTCTAAAATATAAATAGAGTCCCAGTGACTAAAATGTGACTGCTTCCTTTTTTGGGCATCTGTCCATAAAAACCAAGTATATTAAAATACATATATATACATATATAAAGTAGCTAATCTCAAGTGACAAATGAAAAATACTGCACTTTGGTCATATCACATAACAGTACATACCTTTATCACTCACCCATATTATCTGAATCTTTGTCTAATCAGACAAGGTTCTTCTTGTTCAGTTCTGACCAATAAAGAACCTTAAATATTTTGAATTAATCTTGGAAACACAAACCTGACTTTGAGAGAAGTAAGGAAAAAACAGTAAGTAGGATTGTGAGTACATGTTTATAATGCTTAATTTGTGAATGTTATATACGTAACGGGGAATATGAAAATCATGAAAATTAGCTGCAGTGATTGCACTTCTCTCTGTAGAAAGGACAACTTTAAAATGGAAAAGATAAAAGGAACACTAGAGAGGCGAACAGTGCTTAATCAGCTTCAAGATTTTCTTTGCACCTAAGTAGGCCAGGAACATTGTATTGAAAACTTGTGTTCTTTGGTAGTTGTATGATTTGCACTTGACACAAAAAAAAGGAGGTGGAATTGTGATATTAGCAGTGAAAGCTTTCCTATTTTTAATAAGAGTAGTTGGCAAATTCAGTTCCATTTTGAACATGGTATTGTTAGTGCATCTGTAAACTTCAGCTGGGTTTGACTTCAGTTTGCAATTCTATTTTAAGGTATTCGTGCTTTCAACTCATCCATATGGCTGTCGAGTTATTCAGCGTATTCTGGAACACTGCACTGCTGAGCAGACTTTGCCAATCTTAGAAGAACTACATCAGCACACAGAACAACTAGTGCAGGTTAGTGTGTATTCCTTCCTCTAGTGCCTTGTAGAGCTTATTTGTATTATCATAATTAATTCTTGTGTCATAGTATATGAAATAGCTTAAATGAATTTGCCTCTTTTTAGTGTTGTAGATAATGATTTTTGTCTTTTTTTCCTTCCATAGTTTTAATGAAAATGAATTTGGAAGTTGGGAGGCAAAGAAGATATAAAAAGCCTTTTTCTTACACTTTTGGCTGTAGCTTCAAGTATACGTTGTAAATGCACAGATTTAGTTTATTGTGTTTGTGGTTGTTTTTTTTTTTTTAATTGCAAAGTTCACCTATTTGTAGTTTATCTTGATTCACTCTGCTATCCTTCAGATAACTTCTGATAACATCTAAACAGAAATATGTTGTAAAAAATACATATTCTGCATATTCGAACTCAAATAGGGCATCTTTTCTGAAAGAAGGCCAGGCCAAAGACCTCATACAACATGAGTTCCTGTCTTGGTCTCGAGCAAACAAAATAAATGGATTTAAAATTGAATCATTTGCAAATACTGGACGGGACTTATGTTGTTCAGTAGGAATTCTTACATGAGAAAAGACAGCAACTGGCATTTGCTTTGTATTCACAGCCTAGTTTACTTCTCAGTAGTTTTTTGTATATGAAATCTCTGTTAAACTGTAATTCTCTTGCGGAACGAAAGTTCAGGGAGATCTGAGAGCTGATAGAGAATGATGGTATTAATTTTGAAGTCTTGTTTCTTTAGGAGGATATAAGATACTCTAGCAAAATGCCATTTCTACAGATTATTTCTGTTTTCTATGTACATTTAGTAATCCATAGAGTAATTCTTGATGCAGTATATTTTGCATCCCGTTGTTTCCACGATGTTGCATTTTTCCATATATCTGTGCAAATAGCAAGTTTACACAAATAAACAAAAATCTATGTGCATGTCTTGGTGTGAACACAAAAGAAAATTGAAGTCATCTTATTTTCAGGATCAATATGGAAATTATGTTATTCAACACGTACTGGAGCATGGTCGTCCTGAAGACAAGAGTAAAATAGTTTCAGAAATAAGAGGAAAAGTTCTAGCTCTGAGTCAGCACAAATTTGCCAGGTATTGCACAGCTTTCTTATATTAAAGGTTCACTAAACTTTTAAAGTTGTAGTGTTGGATTTTTTTTATTGTATTTCAAGAAGGATATGATATTTTACCCCATGTGTAATGTGTTTTCTCATATTTTGTGTTTATATGGAGGTGGATAGTAGTGGTGCTTTATCCTCTGCAAAATACCAGATTTTGGGGAAAGGAAAGAGGAAATGCTGTTCTGAACTAAAATAAATGAGATTTTGTGGGTTTTTGGAGTGTCTTTCGTCCACCCTGTGTAAGCACAGGAAAGAGACTCCCAGACTCCAAGGAGAGGCATATGAGGATGACCAGAGCCAGCTGAAAAAGTTGTCCTGGAAACTGCGTGATAATCTGTTGCTGATGAGTTGGGAATTCCTCACTGTTTTATCAATCCAGTCAGGCAATTTCCAAGCATAAAAAGGCTAGCTGTAAAAGTGCTGCTTAAGCCTGACAAGAATTTAATGTGCTAGGAAGACTCAAAAGACTATGAGCTACTCTAAAATTCGAGCCTAAGAATAATCCTTAAATGTTTTTTATCAGAACATCAATGCTTTTGCTAAGGAAAATACACTGGATCCTGGATAACACAGTGAGATGAACTTTGTCATCAACATTAAGTAGAAATGCAGTGTTTTTTTGGGGGGGCATTTGTTTTAAGAATCACTTGTATGCAAAGTAGCAGCTTTATCTGGATTTTTTTTTTTTTTTTTTTTTTTTGCTTGCATTGAACTATTCATGTTCTTCTCTGTGAACTTGCTTAACTTCTAAAGTACAAACCTAGGACAAGAATCACTGTTGCTGACTTACAGTCATTGATGGTGTTTTCAGCTTTTGAGATATCTGGAAGTCATGGACTTCATCTACATAAGTAAATATTTGAAAGCTTCTCTGATCTAGGCATGATCATGAAGAGATTCTTTATTCAAAAAATAGAATGCTTCATATCTGCTTTTCTCTGTTACATCCTAAAAGGATCCATAGATAAAAGCAGATATACTAGAGTACAACTTAAAGTCCAGTGTATCTGCGTAGGTCACTCTGAAAGTAATGCTTCCTATTTATTTCCGTGTAAGCTGCAACCAATACAAAGAGCATAATAACACTGTTTAAAAGAGAATATTCTCAGCTACAAGGTGCATTTTTCAATATATCCACCACCATTAGCTATGCATTTTCACCAGTGATGAACAAGAGCCTGTATGCTGTGCTCATAAAAATCTGCACAAGTGGTGATGACCCACTGTTTGACAGCTGCTACGATGGCATTATTGCTAGGAAAACGTTGCCCGAGCAGTGTTGTCTTTCACTGGCCCAAACATATGGAAGTGAGAAGGAGCCAAATCCAGACTATATGGTGAGATAGGGCAGTCCACCCAAGATTGGCAGTGTGCTCCATGATCTCCAGACTGGCGTGGAACCTGGTGTTATCATGTAGCCATAGAAAGGTTGTCTTCTCTGGCCTCGCTCTGGAAGCTCAAGCTTTCAGCTTAGTCAGTGTTGTGATGTAGTGGTTAGAGTCAATGGTCTGTCTAGGTTCCACAATATGCAGAAGGATCACCCCTTTCCTGTCCCAAAAGACAGTACCCGTCACTGCTCACTGAGGGTGCATCTTGAAGTTTTTCTTCAGTGGGGAATTCATGTGTCGCCACTCCACAGACTGCTCTTGTCACACCACATCTCATCACCGGTAATGTTGTGATCCAGGAAACTGTCACCTATAGCCTCATTTTAGTTCAGTTTGAAGTTTTGACAGACTTGCATGCAGTATTCTTTCTGTTCCTTTGTGTGCAGTCATGAGGCCTACCTGGTTCAGGCTTTGTCATGTCCCAACATTGCCACCATGATTTCCAACACATTGAAGCTGATAATCGGCTCCATATACAGTTCCCTGTTTGTAATCCACTGATTCTCATGGATAAGCTGATTGAGATGCTCTTATTTTCTTAAACCTGTGCATGGCTGTTTGGAACATGGCTTGTCTTGTGTGTTGCTGTCACCACTGTTGAAACACACCAGCCATCGTCTCAGTGTGCTCAAATCCATTCTTTGGTCTCCAGAAATGTTCAGCAAGTATGGGTGAATATCAGTGGCCACCATTTTTTCCACATGGAGGAATTCAGCAACACACCTTTGCTTCATCCATACTTCCGTGTCACATTTTGTGTGCCATTTTGTCACACTGCCCCTCTGCTGCCATTTGTCACACGGCAACAAAACGTAACGGGATGTTGGTGGGAAGGTTCAGCATCTTTTGCTCCCCTAACATCTGCCTCTGAAGTCATGGCCAACGTAACAAAATAAGAGGCATTACTTTCAGAGCAGTCCTCATACAATCATTTCTCTAAGTATCAGAAGATGACTTTTGGATATAATCCTTTACCATCCTCAGCTATGAGAAAGTAAAGATTTAGAAGTTGGAACGTCATGTCATGTATTTAAAATGAACTCTTCAGTGGTATTAAGGCACTTAAGTGTTCAGATAAACTTAAAATTGCTACTTAGAAGGATGTTACATATCAAGTAACAGAATCCACTTGTCTTGTTTTTCAGCAACGTGGTAGAAAAATGTGTAACTCATGCTTCTCGTGCTGAAAGAGCTTTACTTATCGATGAGGTCTGCTGCCAGAATGATGGTCCTCACAGTGCCTTATACACCATGATGAAGGACCAGTATGCCAACTATGTTGTTCAGAAGATGATCGATATGGCTGAACCTGCCCAGCGGAAGATAATAATGCACAAGGTACATTGTAGTATAGTTCTGTTCAGAAAGTTCAGAAATTTTTTTCACAATTATACTACTTCATCTGTTAAAATTCTTTTCCTTTTAGAGTTAAAACTGAAATCTGTAACCTAGAATTTAATGCATAGACATTAAATTCAGGGGTACTTGATGGAGCATAACATACTTAGGTTTCTGAGAACTTTTCTGCAAGCTTAAAATGTAAACCTGTAGAATAGTCTTCAAAGATGAATTTCGTATCCTCTCTTTATGTCAGCTTTTCTGTGAAAATAATTTCAAACTGAAAAAAAATCAATAGTATTTGTCACTTGTATTGGCATAACAGAAGAAATACAGGTCTCTCTTGTTGCTGGTAACAAAGAGCTTTGCAGTTGTCATCCTATCCCACCTCTCTTCGTCCCTGGCAAAAAAAAATCCAAAGACAATCCTCGTAATTCCTAACATTTGGGCACCTTTTCTAGTTAGGAATGTCCAGAGACGAACAAAAATGTCTCATTAGCCTTAGGCTGTTTAACACAGGATATATTCCTGCAGGAGATCTGCTTCCCCATTGCTGACAGGGCACTCCCACGAAACAAGCTTCCACCCTTTTCCACCTGCAAGCTCAGCAGGCTGCTCCCATGGGAAAGCTCATTTTTGGGGGTGGTTCTCCACTGTGCTGGTTTCCTGCACTGCTCTGTCCCCAGCTGCTTAGAAGAACTCCTGGAGGGCAGCCCTGTGGAAAAGGACTTGGGAGTCCTGGTAGACGAGAAGCTGGACACACCAGCAGTGTGCACTTGCAGCCCGGAAGGCCAACTGTGTTCTGGGCTGCATTAAAAGAGAGGTGGCCAGCAGGGAGAGGGAGGTGATTGTCCACCTCTACTCAGCTCTTGTGAGGCCCCATCTGCTCTACTGCGTCCAGGCCTGGGGCCCCCAGTACAGGAAGGATGTGGAGCTCTTGGAGCGGGTCCAGAGGAGGGCACTAAGATGATCAGAGGGCTGGAGACCTCTCCTGTGAGGACAGGTTGAGGGAACTGGGATTGTTTAGCTTGGAGAAGAGAAGGCTCTGGGGAGACTTCATTGTGGCCTTCCAGTACTTGAACAGAGTGTATAAACAGGAGGGGAACGGCTGTTTATGAGGGTGAATTGTGACAGGACAAGGGAGAATGGTCTTAAACTGAGAGGGGAGGTTTAGGTTAGATCTTAGGAGGAAGTTTTTCACACAGAGAGTGGTGACACACTGGAACAGGTTGCCCAAGGAGGTTGTGGATGCCCCATCCCTGGAGGCATTCAGGGCCAGGCTGGATGTGGCTCTGGGCAGCCTGGTCTGCTGGTTGGCGACCCTGCACATAGCAGGGGTTTGAAACTAGATGATCATTGTGGTCATTTTCAATGCAGGCCATTCTGTGATTGTTGGACAGCCCAGCCTCACCTGCCACTAGATTGGGTGGCGTGTGAGAATAGCACTGTTAGTATTGCCTGTTATGTTTATATCACATAGTATAATGTTTTGTTGGCTTCTTCAGTCATCTGTTGATGTTGAAGAAATCGGTGATCTGAAATCTGAAAACAAAAGTGGAGTCATCAACTGAATACTTATAATATGAGAGGTACATTGGTTGCTTGGTGATTCAACATCACCCATTTTACATCTTTCCGGAAGTTTCCATAAATGTGAAACTATAGGCTTCTTCTTGTTTGCTTTTATTAATTAATAGTTCACAAGTGTAGTGACTCCACTTACAGTTTGTGAGGAAAAAAATAACGAGTTTCTTCCTACAGATTCGACCCCACATCACAACTCTGCGCAAATATACCTACGGCAAACACATTCTGGCCAAGCTGGAAAAGTATTACCTGAAGAACAGTGCTGATCTGGGGCCAATTGGTGGACCACCAAATGGGATGCTGTAAAAGGCAAAAAAGGAAATGGAAGAATTTTATTGTGAATGATCAAAACATACAACTTAACTATAAATGTTCTGATTTTTTTAAATCTATTTATTGACTTTGTTCATCCATTTGTAAAATTTTTATTCTTTTGTATATTTTTGGGGAGTGAATTATAAAAAAATAAAAAAAAAAATCTCCAGCCCTAATCAGGAGACCTATCAGATTGGATGGCTGGCAAAGCACAGAATGCCTGTATATGATGTAATTGTATCAAAATAGCTGTCACATATTTTGTAAATTTTTACCTTGTAAAGTCACTGAAATAGTTTTTAAAGGGAAAAAGTACAGTATTCTTTTAATACACTGGCTTGCAATCTGGTAGGTCTACCCAACATCATAGCACAACAGATTTATAGAGTTGTATATAGAATTGATCCTTATTTTTCCCTTTCGTGTGAAGTCTTTTATACCAGATTAAAATTGATCAGCTGCATAAACATTATTTAACATGTCGAAAAGTTAAGTTGTATTTTGGTGGTTCACAAAGTACTATCAAATAACAAACAGGACACAGCAAATGAAAGCAGAGAATAACAAAACAACGGGAACCTGAAAGGACAATTTTCACCTCTTGCTGTGGACAGTTATTTTTTTTTTAATTAGTGCCCTTAGGTTTTCTCTAGCGATGTATTAAAAACAACAGTGCTGTATATACTTATATATTTAATTGTTGTACAAGGTAGAGGAATCGAATGGTGGTGGTACATCCACTCAGCAGAGTACGCTGTTGGAAGAGGAGTGAACCCTGTATTAACTTCACAGTCAGTTTTACAACGCAGGAAGAGTAGAGATTTGTATTTTTTTATTTCGCATATAGAATTGTAAGGATTTGAAAGCGTTGAGCATTTGTTTTGCTTTCTCACTGTAGATGCAAAAAAAAAAAAAAATAGGTATTGATGAAGAGAAGAGGGGCCACTGAAAAGTAAACTCGATAGCTCAACATTTAAGCATGATTGATTAAATATCCAGATAGCTTTTTTGCTTCCTATAAATATATGCATTGTATACGTGTAGTTAATAGGTGTAAGTTTACAGTTTGAAAACAAATCTCGTTTTGATGTTTATTACAAGCCTTGCTAATTTAGTAGTGACGCTTACCTTGGTTGTACAGATGTACATTTGTAAACCTTCATGCTGTAAATGTAATTTGTTTTACCCTTTTTTGGGACAAAAATTTGCATTTTAGTGTATATTCATATCCCCGTCCCCCTTTCTTCCCCTGGCATATAGTGTTGTATAATGTAAATTTATTTCAGCAAATTAAGAGTGATTTTTTTAAATTCTATCTTTATATGGTTTCAGAAATATGAACCGGCTTTTTTTTTTAACTATTGTGAGAAACATTATGTTTTGTTTACAACATAGCTGTTGGTTCTGTTCATATGGACACTTTGGGAAATCAATCTGTTCAAATTTTAAGTTGGGATAATAAGCGTAGTGAGAAAGAAGTGGACTGAAAACTTTGGTTATCGCAGAAACCAATGCTTCTTCCATCTTAATAAATGTGGCATGATTTTTTTGTACAGAAGAGTACTGTATTTTTGAATAGCCTTCTCCCAGCGTAAAGCAAATATGTATGATACTGTCAATTTTTTTCTCTGGACATACGACATTGTAACAGTAACATGAGATGATGTACATTTACAAGCGGCCTTATGTACATTTCCCAATGATCTTTTTAAGGCAGAGTTGTGACCATATGTGTATAATTAAAATCCTTTTTAATCCTTTGCCTATGGAAATATTTTGGAAAAAAAAAAAAAAAAAAAAGCTTGCTTTGTATATTCAGTTTCTGAAAGATAAAGAAAGTGCTTTGTATGTTGTTGAAGTAAGTATTTTGTGTAAAATATTCATTCGGAGGGCATGAGCAGAAGTTGTGATCACCAGGATGGATGGAAAGCAGTTCTGAACATTGATAAATAAAAGGCTGCAGCTGTAGGGCTCTGATCTTGAGGAAAGAAAGTGGAGGTGGTATAAACTCGTGTAGGGAATTCTGTTGTATTACTCTTGGTATCAGGTTTACGTGAGTCTTTTTAAAGCATACATCTGAGTTGCTACTTTTTTTTTTTTTTAGTGGTAGTGTTTAAATCATGAATAGGCAAACGGGAAAGTGTGCTCTGGCCTACCGTTAGTTTCCGCATCTGTCACTTAATGCCTGCATCAAGTGATGTAGGGGGCCGACTTATTGTTCATAACCTCATCTTTAATTGCTAAGTAGTTTTTGAATGGCAGTTCACAGCATTCCTTTCAAGAGCTACAGGCCCTGCCATTGGAGCCAGAGCTTATCCGTAGTCACACAAAGGCACTTGAGCAACTTACTTGAACGCATTAATTCTCCTCAGTGAGTATTTTTATCCTGTGTACAAACTGTCTGTTATTATCTGACATTGTCTCTGACATGTGAGACATTAAATCAGGCTTTTGGGAATGTCCAGGCAGAAACTGGTGATGTCTGAGTACTTTGTCCCTGTAGCACTCATGCCATAGTTGAATTTAATCAGTCCTGTAACTATCATCCTTAGAGCTTTAGTACCTTGAAAATAATCTTCCACTTGCTCTCCTAAATTACCATTTTGCACAAACTATATCCAGGAACGTGAAAATCACTGGGTTTCCTTTCAGTTATTTTAGGCTTTGGGTAGAACCACTAGACTTCTTTTTTTGCTAAAATACCGCTATTTGATATAGACTGTTTATGGACCAGTTTGATTAGGTTTGACTCCAGGCGGCTCATATTAAATAATGTAATGTTCACGTGTATATACTGTAAAAATCAAAATGAAAATGTGTTAATAACACTGTGTGAAATACATCTGGTCTTGTGTTTTTCCTCTAGGAAACCAGCCAATCTTTTTGTTCTCAGTTATGTGGCTTCTCTGCTTGGAAACTTTGCAGAGGCACTCCATTCTGTTTCTGCGATCGATGAGAGTCAGCCAATTATTTGAGAATCCGGTATGAGATCATTACATTTCCAGAGGTCAGTTCTGAGCTGCAAAGCCTTCATATCATCCTACAAAAAGTGTTTACCGAGGGATGGATAAGGCTAGAGCTTCATGGTATTTCATACGCCAGTGAAAGCATGGTGAGTTCTTGAGCATTTGGGAAGGCTACAATTGTTGGCTGCTCTGTCATTATTGGATCCACAATCTTTAGTTACTGCCCAGGATTTTTTTCAAAGGACCAATCGTGGCTTAAGGTAGGGACTGAAGGGGTTTATCTGCAGCAGAGTAGATTTGCTTGTTGCTATTAAACCAGTCCTCTGAAGTGGTCCCGTAAGGACAGAGCATCCATAATACTACTTCCATCGTAGACTGCTAGATCTACTATTTCAGTGGAGTACACGAATCCTTGAAGCTTCTGAGGCCCGAATGCCTAGATGTCCTTGAAATGCTGATGGCAGTTAAGAGGCACATAGTCTCTCTTACCTCCACTCTAAAGAACAGGCAGTTTTCCTTGTGACTTGTTGCATGGCAGTGTGCTGATCGGGCTGATCTATGGTGCAGGAGCGTTTCTTCCTCCAGCCCTTTGGATGCAGCTTGCTCCTTTGCATGCTAGTTCTGCAGTTAGGGAATTCACCCTGCAAATACGATGACTGAATTAGTTTCCTTTTATCAGCCTCAGGGTTTCAAACCCACCTTTCTCACTTCACAGGAGTATGTCCTAACCGCAAGGAGTTGGGCAGGTTCACTTTCTGCTCCTGAATTTGGGCTGAGCTTGTAGCACAGCTTGAGCCATTTGTTGCATCACAAGCAGCACAAGACAGAGCATGATTCCCGAGCACGCAGGTGGGAGTGGGCAGGTTCTGCTCCTGAGATCCTTGTCTACACCTTGATTCTCCCAGACTCAGATCATGTAAAACAGATCTTGGGAGCGGCATGCTCCCATCATTGCCATACTGGAAATGCTCCTTGAGGCTTTTTATGTTGCAGCTGAAACGTTGGAAGGAGACCGGTCCCTAAAGATCTTCAGTTTGTGAGGAATAACCAATGTAAATATAAAATGTACCCACTTTCACCAGTGTTAGTAGTTCTGGAGGCCCTAACCAGCTTCATTTCAGCTCCAGACCTGCCCAGAGTGTTCAGATTTCCTGGCAGCACCACAGCCCTTTCTCAGCTTGGTTGCCATGCTTGTCCCAGCCAAGCCCAAGGGGGACAAGAAGAGACCATTCTCCTTCCCTGGCACAGCAGTGCTCAGGTGTGGAGGCTGTTGAGGACTTGCTGCTTGGCTGCTGATTACAGAGCAGGTTCACACAAATAATCCTTATCCCTTATTTCTTCTGTCAGAGCTGCAGTACACAATCAGAAAGTGTACTCAGTGTTTCCTTGCACAGGATCAGTCCAAGAGAGCATCCAGGAGAGCGTTTGCTGGTGCCAGGAGAAGTTCTGGGCAAGGATTCACTGTTTTCTCTGTAGAGCTCAGTTTTGATGTGGCTGTTGTAGCCCTTTGCATACAAGCTGGCTTCCAGAGGCTGATAGAGCATTCAGAGCAGTCACTTGTTAAGCAAGGGTTACAGAGGGCTGAACTGAGCTGAAGAGCTGAGGACAAACTCGGTGCCAACCACAGAACCAATTTCCCACTTCCACGTGGAGAGTCAGGATGAAAGGAGCAGAGTTTCCCCTTGTCAGATCCAGGCTACACACTGATCTCATTCAACTCTTAAAAAGCCTTTTTTGTTTGAAAAGCGACTATCTTAAGTACTCCAGGTTTCACATGACATCTCCTATTTCCGTGAAATGTCATGTGTCTCATGATAATGTGGGGTTTGATTATTCATCCCACTTTGGGAGCACCACAAGCTTGGATCCTGCTGGGAAAGGGACTCTTATCCAGCCCTACCCAACATCCTTGGACACTCGGGCAACCGAAAGCCCGGAGATCTGGTGGAGGCATTAAAGGTCACTCACTGCATGTTTCTTGGGTGCTGCGCAGCTCTTGCTGTCCCCTTAGACAGGAACAAGGATCACACAGCAGCACTATCAGCAAAGCTCTCGGGGAGACACCATCCCAGTTAAGTCATTTCTGTTTACGTGGGGACACTTCCATGCAGACTGATGCACTGGGAACAGGCCCTGTTGCCTGCTCGTCTGTCTGGTGCCATCTGAGGCACCCTGAGGCATCTGGGGGCATGCAGGCATCCCCAGCGAGCAGCACTCAGCCAATCCTCCAACATCTGCTCCAGAGAGACTGAGATGGCACTGGGAACCTTCATACAGGTTCTCATCAGCTGGAAGGCACCTGAAATCAATAAGCAATTTTTCATAGATCAGTGGTTAAAAAGAGGAGGGAGAGAACAGAAAGGTAGGGGAGGGCATCAAAACAGCTTTATTCTGCAAAACAGGATGGGATGAGAAGTGGAGAGACAAAACATAAGCATCCCCATATGCATACTCAAAACTGCTGTAACCACCATCTAATAAACAATCATAATGGCTCTTGATTATAAATACTGAGCAGAGGGGAGAAGGAGAGAAGGAGCACTGTGGGAACCCATTGGTATCTTTAAAAAGTAATAAAAAGGCACAGTAAAACCTTCACTCCAGGCCTCCCTGGGCAGTATAGCTAACATCACAAGCACCTAAAAATAATTCAAACATACAGAAAGAGGAAGAAATGCAATTAAAATATCTGTGTTCATGACAAAGTCAGCACTGCTCAGAATTGGGCAGGCAGCACACAGACGTGCCATGCAAAGCTTAAAGCAAAGACAAAAATCCACAGATAAATAAGTAGGACACTGTTGCAGAACCCCACCCCACTGCCCAGGCAGAATTACAGCCTTTGTTCCCCTCCTTTCAGAGAATCATATAACATCCTGGGCTGGAATGGACTCATAAAGATCATCAAGTCCAGCTCCTAGCTCCACACACCTCAAGGCTGTGTGCACTGCCCTGGGCAGCCTGTTCCATGCCCACCAGCCTCTGGTGCAGAACCTTTTCCTGATATCCAGCCTGAACCTCTCTCCCCTTTCATCCAGTCCTTCCCACGCCCTTTGTACTCCCCTTCTCCCCACTCTCCTCCAGCTGGCTGTATGCCCTGCCTGCCACCTGGGCAGCTGTTCTCACAGTGGTGGTCAATCACCAGGAGCACATGCTGATGGACAACCTGAGCAGAGCTCTGTCCCTGCATGGGCCTTGCCAACAGCTCATTCTTGTGGCACAGGAGCACGATGCCAGCCAGGGCTGGGGTACCACAATCCCAAGCCCACTCCCAGGTGAGGTTACAACAGAAGCTGGGCAAAGGCGTTGCCTCTTGAATGCGTGAGAAGGTCCAGGATGGAGGAAGAGACAGGATGGGTGGGGAACTGATGGGTGAATCAACGCTATGACAGTGAGGGCTGAGGCACTGGTACTGCCTGCAGGGATGTGGCAGAGGAGTGACTGCACACAGCCCCGGGACAGCCGGTATCTGCGGAAATGTGCGAGTGGCCTCAAAATGCTAAATGAAGGATGATAATTAAAGCAAGATGCATCCTTTTAGCTAATCAGGAAGAAAACCTGTACGTTACATCACACAAAATTCACGGCACAGTCACGACCGATAGCTGGCGTAAATTAAAAACACTAATGCTGGCCCAGGAGCAGCATTCCTCAGAAATCCTCAGCAAGGCTGGGGTCCAGATCACACCAGCTTACTGAAAAAGAAAAAAACAAAGATCAGTATTTTTCCCAGTGCTGCACATGTTGTCTAGCAGGCAGTTACCACACTGCAGCCTAATCCTTCTCTTGGTAACTGCTCTGCTACAGCATCTGCTCCTTCCAGGACCACGTCTCTTTTGCATCCAGAGGAGTGCTAAACCTGCTTTGGCAGAACTCCCGCAGCTCTGTGTGCTTACTCACATTCCCTGTACAGCAGAAACACCTGACCCAAGCCTGTCTGCCAGTGACAGCATGAGAGTCCATCATAAACGTGTTTCTAAGGACTGAGTACTTCTGCATTTTGATTAAAAGTCTTTGTCCTTAATCTGGAACTTTTTAACAAGCAGAACAGCACTGGTTTATGCGAATGCTGATAGCTTCCTTCCACAGCACGTGGTACAATTGGTATGGTCAGAAACATCTCATGGGGAGAACCTGCACTAAAATTTTATGCGAGTCTTATGCACCCAGGAGCCTCTGTGACAAACCAAGACAGTAAAAAGGAATACACAGACGAAATACAGGAGTCCTTTGATAAGAGATTAAGTACCTCATTATACCTGAAACCCGCACCTCTCTCAGGCAGATAATGGCACTCTGTGGTGCTGCCAGAAGCAGCTGTAGGATTACAGCCATACTTATTTTTTGTATTCTCACAGCAGTCATCAAGGCTCTAAAAAGGTATTAAGAATCACAGCCTCTCCTCTGCAGGATGGCAGGGGCTGTGAAAGGTGACGGCCTCCTCTCTGTGCTCATTTTCATAGAATCACAGAATGGTTGGCTTGGAATGGACCTCAAAGCCCGTCCCGTTCCAACCCCTGCCACAGGCTGCCAGCTCAGGCTGCCCAGGGCCCCATCCAACCAGGCCTTGAACCCCTCCAGGAATGGAACAACCACAGCTCCACTGGGCAGCTGTGCCGGTTCCTCACCACCCTCTGAGTTAAAAGTTTCCCCTAAACATCTAATCTAATCTAGATTTCCTCTCTTTTAGTTTAAAGCCATTCCCCCTTTTCCTTTCGCTATAAGACTGTGTACAAAGTCACTCTTCCTCCTGTTTATTAGCTCCCTTTAAGACCTGGAAGGCAGCAATGAGGTCTCCCCAGAGCCTTCTCCAAGCTGAACAAGCCCATCTCCCCCAGCCTTTCTTCACAGAGGAGGTGCTCCAGCCCTCTGATCATCTTCATGGCCCTCCTCTGGACCCACTCCAACAGCTCCACCACATTTTTCTTATGCTCTCTTGCCAGGGCAAACCCCATTATGGGTTCAAATTATTTGGGGTCACAGAGGCTGAGGGGATCACACATGGCAGGCCAGTGTTAGTCATTGCAAATGAGTTGCCCTGAGTTAACCACAGAGGTGAGTGAGTCACAGAAATGCAGGAGAGACTAAGGAGGCTCCCTGGGCAATGAATAGTAAGTTTTAAAAAGTGGTTATTCAGGTGGGTGCTCTGAGAAATGCCTGTGTAGGCCACGAGCCCTGATACTGGTATGCCACGATAGCTAACAGTGAAAGCACCAGCCAATAGAACAGCACATCATAGAATCATTTAGGTTGGAAAAGACATCTAAGATCATATTGTCCAGCCGTCAGCCCATCCCCACCATGCCCACTGAACCGTGTCCCTAAAGGGCCTCATCAAGGGAGAGCTTGTTTGTGGGCAGCAGCCACCTAACTTCAGCCAAACCCCATGGAGCCAATGGGGAACCCCTCTGGAGACTGTCATGCACCTGCCCCCAAAATGCCATCCTGAGACTCTAACGAACATGCAGGATTCAGACCCTCACACACAGCATCAAAGAAGGACAGCTGGTTTTGTTACAGCTGTTTATGAAAACTATCACAATAGTAGCATGCAGTCGCCAGCTGGGATTTTGCCAAAGGAAGCTCAGTTTGGAAGAGAAGTGTTTGGCTGGTGGCACAGACACGCTGATACATCGTTTTCAGTGTCCACCTACAAGTTGTAGTTAGCAGGACACAAGGAAAGGGGATGGAGGAGAAGTAAAGAAGCTTCCGCATTTTTGGGAGAGGCAGCCAAGTGGACTCAGCTGATTTCTATAAGGCAGCTACACTGACACTTGGACAACTCAACATTGCATTGTTGAAGCTGGAAAAAAAAAAAAAAAAAAAGTAATAATAAAAGAGTTTTTGCAAGAAGGCTTCTTGTCCAAATAAGCAATACCATCCCTTTTCTTCCGTTAGAGCGTTATATGGGGGAGAAAGAAGCCCAGGGCAGCTCCGTGCTGCCTGCCTCGGGGTACACGGCTTTGCTCTCACTTCCTGGCAGTGAAAGGTGGGAGGCGAATGGAGCTGCTCACAGCTGTCTGACTCACTGCAAAGAAGGCCGGACAGAACAAGCACAATCAGATACCACCGTGCAAGCGCGCTGGGTGGCTTCACATGATCTGGCTGCAAACTACCACTGGCATTTAAAAGGGTCAGAATCAGTTATTTCTATGTTGACAGCCACGCAAAACTCACCAAGACATCAGAGGAGGCAGAACAGAGGTAAGCACAGCTGGTACCACCATCCTGAAGAACAAGCAACAGGCTTGGGAAGTGGAACCACAGTGCCTAGGCTCCCAGAAAGCAGTTAGCATGGCAGCTGGATGAAAATGCTGCACATCAGGGACAAGTTTTGGTAACACAAGGTTGAAAGTCCAGGCTGCTTCCTCTGCAGACTTGTTCTTGCATTCCAAATTGATTTAAGGAATGGGTGGATTGCTCTTTTGTTATTGCAGGGAGCTAGAAAGATGATGTGAGCCATGGGTAACAGCAGCGCTGGCCAGATGGACTTAAATAGGAAGGAGCAGAGAAGCAGCAGGGTAGAAGGAGTAAAACTCAGATCCTCCTGGTCCCTGCAGGACTACCAGCCACATTGCCCTAATCTCCCCCTGGTGCTTTCAGGACATAAATCCTTCTTCTTCCATCCCCAGACTTCAGGCTCCTGATGTCTCATTGCCAGCTCACTGTTCTAAGGCATCATCCACAGGAAAAGCACAGACACAGAAGGGAACTGCAGTGAGAGTGCACCAAGCCCTTACCAGCCATCACCACTTGTTTCAGACCCATCTTCCACCCCATTCCAACAAAGACTCCATCTGGATGCATTTAGCATACCCTAAGTGCCGTGTGTCTACCTTCTGACCAGTGACCAATGGATTCACGGCTTTCATTCAAGGTTTCATCTATACATTATAGCTGAGAGAAGTGGAACGCATAAAGAGGTTAACTGAACTACCCAGTGCTGGAAAAAAATAAAAAGTTTTTTCTCTGGTACAAAAGCAGCAACAGAGAAACTGTCAATCAGCAGCAGGGAGGCCAACCAGACAGCACCCATTAGTGGTGAGCTGTCAGCTCCACAACCCCAGGGGAGAGGCAGCTGCCTGTGCACTGAAGACAACCCCACTCTTTGCATACATTCTAACCTCCCACTGTGTGTGAGGGAATGTATTCTCCCTCTTCATCCCAAGTTGTCAGGCTGTGACATCCTCACACAAGTTTGTCTATGGCAGAAGTCACTGAGACATGATGTGTGAGTTTACCAGCTTGAAGCCATAGGTATGACACAGCCCTTGGTGTGGAACTCAGCTTCCCCTAACCCCAATCCATACAGTCACACTCCATTCATAACCCATCTAAACAGACACAGCAGCAGACTTCAGCCGAGGAGAAGGCAGTCATCTGCTCCACAGGCCCCACAGCTGCTGGTGGGCACATGTGAGGGAGCAGAGGACATAGGGTGACAGCAGCCACAGCCTCACATGCCATTGTGGGAGGGTCTGGCACCTGGAAAGCCAGGCAGGCAGCTCTGCTTGCTGTGTGACACATCCATGGGGCAAAAGGGACGATGCAGAGCGCTGCAAAGAATGGTGGCGGCTGCCCAACAGCAACAGACGCCACTCCTGCTCGCCCCATGCCTGAGGTGGTGGCGGAAGCAGCGGGCTGGACACGTCTCCCTCTTTCCATGGCAGGACACAGTTCAAACCAACCCCTCGTCCCCAGGGAGGGTGAGTTCAATTGGGCTGCACTGCTGGAAGCCCTTGATCCAATGCTGGGAAATCCCCACCGCCCCACTGTACTGGGCAGAGGCAACCAGCTCGCATCATCCCCCGAGCGCGGAGCTGCCAAGAAGCGCCTTTCCATACAAGTCTCATCTGGCTTTTCAGCATGGAGCTCTTTTGACTGAAACCACAATACTTAGCATGCTTCAATGATCAAGCAGAGGGCACGGGAATGTCACAGCAAACACTTGGCTCCCAAACACGGCATTGTTCTTCCCCCTTCCCCATTCACAGATCCTGACCAGAACATCCCGAGCAAGCTTTAAATGTTTTCTAGCAAATCCAGCAAGCAATACCACAGGAACATTTGATCTGCCGTCTTTCTGAACACACACAGTCGCATGAAATCCATATGTTGCTGGGCCCCACCAGCACATCCATGCATCTCCTGGAGGCAGCCCTCATGGCCATGCGCTTCCAGCACAGCCAAACCAGCCTTTGCCAAGCTGCAATTAGCCAGGAAGGCTGATGAGGCCCTGTGTGCTGACTGTCAATCACCATGGCAGCTGGGATGTCTCCTTGCTTGGAATTCCCTGCTTGCACATGAAGCGCACCTCACATCTTCTCAGACACCTCAGTGCCCTGCCTGGAGCATGGGTTACCCTGTGATACCTGCATGCCCCCACAGCTTTTATTTCACCTCCTTCCTCCATTCTGCCTCGCCCCCCCACTCCTCCCACTCGGAGCCGTCTTGGCCACGGGGCCGCATGGGCGCCATTTTCCTCACAGCGGCCGCAGTGCCAAGAACACGGCGCCCAGGCAGCCGCACGGCCAAGATGGCGCTGGGTGTGAGGCAGCAGGGTGGGAGGGTGGCCCCGCAGTGGCGGGAGCTGTTTGGAGGAAGGCTGCATAAGTAATTGAAGAGAGAAAGCAAGCTAATTAAAGACACGTGATAAAGTCATGAGTTTTAGCCACACTGAATATCTCATTAGGTCTCCTGAGCCTTGTGGGAAGGGATCCTCAGCGTGGCGGAGGGCGCCATCACGCTCCTGAAGCCTCTCCATGGCAGATGCCGACTACGGCTCTTCTTTGGGTGCCCCCCAACACAGGGCACCACGGCCCTGCGCCTGCCGTCCCTCACCCATCGCGAGGGCACGCGGTGCCCATCCATCGCACCGGGGTTGCTTTTAGCTCAAAGGGGGAAAGTGATGCAGGAAGGGGCAGCTCTGGAAACAGAGATCCAAGGCAGCGTGGCTTAACCCCGTTTCACCCCATTAGAAGGCCCGTCCCTGGCACCCTTTCTTTTGGGGAGCAACCCCCGCCGGTCGGAGCGGGCTGTTCCCACCGTGGAAAGGGAAGGGAGTGCTATAAAGTTCCCATTATTTTTAGCGAGGAGGAAGGAAGCTCGGCGGGAGCAACGCCGCCGCAGAGGAAACGCGGGAATGCAGGCAGAGCGGAGCGGGGCTCCGGGCGGGGGGAGCGGGGCGGCGCGCAGGTACGGGGCGGCAGGAAGCGGGGGCGGGCGGCGGGGCCGGGCCGAGGGGAGCGGGGCGGGGCGGGGCGGGGCCGGAGGGGGTGGCCGTAAGGTGAAGGTTGTTGCCGTGGGTTCATTAAAAGACAGAGTTCAACTCGTAGCGGCCGCAGAGCGCTGCTGGGAGGCCGGTTTGGCAGCGCGCGAAGAGGAGGAGAAGAGCGATCGAAAAAAGAAGTTCATGTGTTGAGAACTCCGCGGGGAAAGGCGGCGGTCGCTTAAAAGCGCGCTCCGAGGAGCGGGACAGGAGCGGCGAGACGAGGGCAGGCTGCGCGCTCCCGAGGCCCGCCGAGGAGGAGGACGATGCTGCGCGCGGTGACCGTGCTGCTGGCAGCGCTCTGCTTCCACGCTGCCGTCCCGGTGAGCGGCGGGCGGGCGGGAGGAGCGGCGCACGTGGGCGGCGGGGATCCGGGAGGCGCGGGTTCGGATCCCCGCGGCTTCGGCTCCTCGCGTCGACGGGGTGAGCGCGGGGGGAGCGGCTCCCGTGGCCTTTTGTGCTCCGGGAGTCTTAATTCAAACCAGACCCGCTGCTGCCGCTCGCGACCTGCTGGCGGCCCCGCCCCGGTGCGAGGCGGCGAGCGCGCCGC